GGGGTGGGGTCGGGGGGGGAACTGGTGAGTTACCTGACTGCGAATCATGGCTGACTGGAAGACCTCGGGGGAATCCTCGCTGAAAGAAAACCCGGGCGTGGCATGCACGTAGACTGAGAACTTGTCCTCGTGTCCGCGGAAGAACCTTTGCCAGAGCGGTGCGAATGGAAGGGGACCACGTGTCAGAAAGAGAAAAGCTACTTTCGATGGCCATGACTGATTGGCGACTGGCCGCAGAGTATTGGCCGATCCTAGCGACAGCAGCTCCTCGTCGCTGAGAACATGACTAAGCAGTCTGAAGGTCTCTGAGGCCAACCGAAGGCACATTTTCTTTTCGAGTCCCCTTCTGGGCCCGCCGCCTGCCAACGGCACAAGGATGCGGTAGAAAGTTCCTTGAAGCGCAGGAAGTCGTTCCGGTCCCACCGAGGGATCGCAACCCTCATCGTGTTCACCATTTGTGATCGCGCGTGCCGGCGACGACGACAAAGGAGGCCTCAACAAGCAGAGCAGATCACGCCGCAAGTCGGTTATCGAACTCGACGGCGCCGCCTGGAAATGTGTTGGATAGTGAACGCAAATCGAAACACCGAACAAGATACCCGCGAAGAACACGTTCGAAAGAAGAAGGCATATCCATATTGGCGACGAGAAGCCTCGTCGGGACAATTGACTAGGAGGCGGAAGAGGGGGCGGCATGGGCGCCACTAAACACCACCTCTCATCTATAAGCAGTCAGTGACCAACCACTGCAGCCGGTCACAGGACGCCCGCGAGAAACACACACACGTAGTCTCACATAACCAGCCCAATTCAGAAGGCACTAACATGTTGATCATGAACCTGCCCAACGTAAGACACCCAATTCGTGACAGCCGTCCTGGATTGTTTTCCCTCCGTCCCCTCAAAATATTGTGAACTAATGGGATGCACAGTGGGCTTCCTGCATGAACCTAGTCATGTCAATTTGTGAATGTACAGAGCCAAAAATCCCTCTACTCCACATTTCAGGACCACCCCTCTGCACACACGATGACATCGTCCTTCAAACATGCCCACTGATCATACGGTCACTGATTCAAAATCCCGCCATAGCCCCCACTTTCCCCCCTCCTCCCCTCTCCTCTCCCCCCCCCCCCCCCTTCACCCCCTTCTCCCCCCCCACACACACACACACACACACACACACACACACACACACACACACACACACACACACACACACACAGGAATAAATGAACACAAGCACAGTCAAAGAACTGGTGTTAGGCTTTAGCTGGAATGGAGCACACCTCTTCACGGAGGGAAAAAAAAGACAAACAAGAGAGATGAAATAGAAGATGTAACACAAAGAATCACCCACAAAGTAGGCGACCAGACAAAACACAAAACCCCATCATCACACAGACCCTAGACAAAACACAAAACGAGGAAAATCATTCAAACTTCAAAGCATATTGCAGACACTGTGACATCAAGATCGACAAAACCATCAGGTGTATCTTCATTGAAAGTCTGCTACCATACGCTCGACTTCTGAAAACCAAAAAAAAAAAAAAAAAAAAAAAAAAAAAAACACTCCTTTTTTTGCCGGGAACCTGGTCGAGCCTGAGGACTCTGGTTCGTAAAACGCGGAAATCACGGCAAAAGTCCTATTCTTAGAATCAACCTTAATTTGCATATTTATTTATTCATTTTTTTTAAGGCTTATTTATTCGTTTATCTTTTGTGAGGAATGTGCCCTCGCAAGGCCATTCTTCTCCCCGACACTGTCAGGACCCCCAGCAAGCCTCGTGCCCGCCCTAAGTGAAGATGGGCCTAAATTTCAACTTGGGGGTTGGGGGGCTCACCATACAATAGATATCATAATAAATATATGTATATGCAGGGTTACCAGCCCGTACGTACGGAGGCCCCCGGGCGGACCTCCGTACGTTCGGGCGTTCGGGGTCCCGTACGGGGTCCGAACCCGACGACGTTCGGCCCCCGCCAAAAATTATTTCAGGGCCTAAAAATAATTGTTTTTTTCTGAATTTTTTTTTATGAGTTCTCTATGACGTGAGGTACATGCCTATAAATTTTCAAACCATTTGGCTTAGCCAAATAAGAATTAAAAATCGCCAAAGATGGCGGTGTCAAAACGTGCTCGCCCACGTTTTTTTTCACTTTTTACTTTTTGTTTTCACTTCAGTTCGGGGTCTAAACAATTTCATTATTTTTTGAAACTTTTTTAGTGGGTTTTGTATTATGTGAAGTACACATCTGTAAATTTTCAGGGCATTTAGCTATCCCAAAAACAAATGCAAAATCGCCAAAGATGGCGGTGTCCAAAACACGCTGTCGCACTCACTAAATTTAATTCTCTTTTTATTTTTATTTATTTTTATTATTAGTATTTGTTCTGTGTATTTTATTTTTATTTCAAATTTGGTAAGGAATTCGGACGTAATGCTCAGGCAAATCTTGTTTAATTTATTTTTCTCCATAACATATCCTTTTTTCAGATTTTTTTGATGACTTTTTTTTNCATCCCCAAGGGGTCCCATACGTTCGGGCGTTCGGGTTCGGGTGTTCGGCCCGTCCCGAACGCTGGTTACCCTGTGTATATGTATACATATATTGTCACAAAGCTATCAGAGCGCAAAAACGAAAAGAAAACAGAAAGGAAACAAAAAAAAATAAATTCATTTTTTTTTCTTCTTCCTTGCAACTCCCCCTGTTCAGAACCTCTTGCGTACAAGGCCCCCCACGTGGATGTAGGTTGAGCGGCGGCTGCCCCCACCCCCGTGTGTCATATCGACCCACTTGCACACAGCCAAAGGGCAAAGAGGCAAAGAAAAGAGGAAGGGAACAGCCAAATACAACAAAACAGGGGGCAATAAGCAACAGCACAAACCGGATCCTAGATGACAAGTCCCACAGGCAAACACCGCCCCACCTACAAAGGCCAAACGACGGGACAAGACCACCCAGGACAAAACACTCTTGTCTGCAAAAAAAGAAATCCCAGTTACATATCTATACACAGCAGATGGCCGTGTTCGACATCAAGAAGTTGGTATTCCAATGTCAACTGAAATACTGGGACACCGCCAACGGCAAAAAATATAAAGACACTCCAGATGACGATTCCCACTTATAAACACCGCCCCCCATGGTAGGCCGAACAACAGGAACCAGCCAACTAGGATGCCAAAAGGAAAAAACCCGGATGACAAATCCCACATGAAAACACCGCCACGTGGACCGAACAACCCACATAAAAACACCGCCACGTGGATCAAACAACGAGACAAAGCCAACCGGAATGCAGACAAAGATGCCAACAACACCAACAATCCTACCATAACCACTCTTGAAAAAACCGGAACCATACAGTAGGTCCGTAAAACGAAATACCCCAACAATGGGGAAGAGCAAAGCAAAGAAGAACGACAGAAAGGAGAATTAGAAAGAGTATATTCTACCATAACCAAAGACAGAGCCTGCTAGTCCAGGCCCGACGCTGCCCGCATCATCTACAAAAGCAGAGAGCTAGCAACGTCGGAATATATATTGTCACAAAATTATCAGAGCGCAAAAGCGAAAAGAAAACACTTCAAAACAGAAAGAAAACAAAGAAAAATAAATTCATTTTTTTATCTTCTTCCTTACAACTCCCCCTGTATATATTGTCACATAATATCAGAGCGCCAACGCGAAAAAACTAAGGAAAACAAAAAAAACTTAAATTCGTTTTTGATCTTCTTCCTTACAACTCCCCCTGTTCAGAACCTCTTGCGTACAAGGCCACCCACGTGGATGTAGGTTATATCGTCAAACAGAACTGCCCGGTAAACCGTACCATGCAGAGAAGGAGGGGAGGGAGAAGAGGACAACATACGAGGGAGGGGCTGTGACAAACCGTTTCGTCGGAGTGTTTCACCTACCGACTCATCAGGAGGAGGCTGAACCCTCGACAGTCTGCAGAATCCCCTGACTGATTACACACACTGTGCGTGATAATCCACCTTCACCCCGGTTGTGGTTAAGCATCAACGACTGCCCGACAACTGATACCCCTCTGAAGTGGTGGGGACCACCAACCACTGCCCTCAAGCTACCTGTGACGAAAACCAAAGCAGACTATCACTCACCCACACCAGATGGAAAACTCTACACACTGTGTATCGTCAAACAGAGCGACAGGGTAAACCGTAGGCAGAGAGGGATATATCGTCATATATCATACTAAGTAGAATTCATAATATGATCTGAATTACTCACTTCATTATAGATGATCTCTACATTAATCATTTCATTATAGACGAGCTCTGGCTATGGCAGCCCACTATGCGGGGGCTGCTTTCTCCCACACACGTGAGAACTCGAAAGAAGAAATCGAAGAAAACACCAAGCAGCCCACCAAGCCACACATGCGCGCTGCTACCGTGCCTCCATAGCCAGAGCTCATCTATTATGAAATGCTATGGTGTCATCCCCCCGGCTATGGAGGCACCCCCTCGCTACGGCTATGGTGCCTCCATAGCCAGAGCTCATCTATTATGAAATCCTATGGCGTCACCCCACCTCCTCACTTTCTCCCACACATGAGAGCTGCTACCATGCCACCATAGCCAGAGCTCTGGCTACTACGAGCTTTTGATAGAGATAAGCATTACTTCTCCCAGGTCTGAGGATCGAGTCCGCATGTATACAGTTCTCAGTTGGAATGCGCAAATCCTCCAACGCGTTTCGGATAGGATGTGCCCCTGGGGAAAAATAATAATAATAATAATAATAATAATAATAAGAAGAAGAAGAAGAAGAATGATGATAATAATAATAATAATAATAATAGTAAAATTGCCGACATTGAGCTCCTAAAGTAGACTTCTCCCCAGATCCGCCTTTGGGAACGATCAAACTTTCCAGGGCCGGGATCCCACTATCAGAGAGGATCGGATAGAGATCCCGAATGTGGACGTGTTTTAAGCAGAGATGCAGAAAAGCAGTTCAATCTCGATTTTCTGCACCCCCCCAACCAAGACGTCCAGATTCAGGCATCAAAATACAGTCTTCTTTGCGGGTGGGAAGCTCCCCCCAGACCATCTGAGAATGGAGGGCCATGGTCCTTGGCCACCAAGATTGCACACACGTAAAACCGCTCTCCATGGGTCTCCAGTAGATAAACAAACAAACAAACAAACAAATACGTAGAAAGAAAATTGGGCAAGAATTGCGCACGTAAAATCGCTCCTCGTAGTCTGACAGCATATAAATAAACAAATAAAATACATAAATAATTTAAAATAACATTGCCCAACAATTGCAATCTCAGAGAAGCGAAATCACTCTTTGTACTCACCAAAGTGCAATCCCAGCCTATTTCTAATGCCTCCTCCTGATCCGCTTCCTCCTCTCCTCCTCCTCCTCCTCCTCCTCCTCCTCCTCCTCCTCCTCGTTTTACTCCTCCTCCTCCTCCTCCTCCTTTTACTCCTCCTCCTCCTCCTCCTCCTCTCCTCCTCCTCCTCCTTGGTGCCTCCTCCTGATCCGATTCCTCCTCTTCATCTCTTCCTCCTCCTCCTCCTTATCCTCCAACCTCCCCTCCTCCTCCTCCTCGTTTTACTCCTCCTCCTCCTCCTCTTCCTCCTCCTCCTCCTTATCCTCCAACCTCCCCTCCTCCTCCTCCTCTCCCTCCTCCTCCTCCTTGTCCTGCACCCTCTCCTCCTCCCCCTCCTTGTCCTGCACCCTCTCCTCCTCCCCCTCCTCCTCCTTCGCCTAGTGTCTCCACACATCGCGAAGTCCTTCCTCGTCTTTCCCTGCTCCTACGAGCAAATATGGATACTACTACAACCACCTCCTCCTCCTCCTCCTCCACGTCCTCCAGATCTGGATACTACTACAACCACCTCCTCCTCCTCCTCCTCCACGTCCTCCTCCCCCTCCTCCTTTCTCCTTCCTCCTGTTCGGGAACCCGCCCATCTTTTCCCGCCATCTAATATTTTACCGCCCTCGAATATTTCACCGCCTTCTAATATTTTTACCGCCCTCGCAAGGAAGCCCGCCATCGTCTT